CGAATGGAAGCAAGTATTTCATTAGTTGTAGAAAAGGTTCATTGCGACTTCTAATTGATAAATCACTTTATATTTGCTCAACTTATGCCCATCTCAAAACGATGATGGTGAAGGAAGTTAAAAGCAGAATTTTTCCTCGCACATAACACAATTATAACATTTATAGCGCAAAGCAATAATTTATCCGGCATTATCATTAATTAAGAATGTGTTAGAAACTTTCCTCTAAGCTTACTCTTAAGTTCTTTAGAAACCAAAACTTCAAATGCCCCAATACAAAGTCAATTTATGTTTTTTTAATGAAAAACTTGGAGCGAAAAGCTTTGAGATTTAATTTCTAATGTTAGGCTCGATAAAACACAAATGAATTTCCTTCTAGGCCTTGTTTTTCTATTATTTTACTGACCCTTAAAAGAGTGTCCTTGTTTCTCTTAAAATGAAATGCTGCTCCATCTACTTGAGCAATTGCCATAGCAATGTTTGCCAAATAGTCTTCAAGTGGCGGTGCTTTATAGGTCGTTCAACGATTTTGGCGGCGGCGGCGGTTCATTGCCAGGCGCACGAATCGATCCGAAATCGTCCAGTTTTTTGGTAAGTAGTGTGGTTTTCGTTATTCTATAGTTGTGTAACTATCTATCCATATTGTTCAGCTTGAGTCATCCCCACTGGACGCCTCATTCTGCTCTACAAGGTCGGAACTTACCCATGGTCAGTGCAGGACAAGAAAAAGACTAAGAGTAAGACGTCTGCCACGAAGTATGAGCGACGGCGAGCAGCTGATCGTAAGATCAGGTGGGTTTTGGGTTCATACTTTTTTTTTGTAAATTGCTGATTTACTATGAGCGTATAATGAATCTATTTACTTATAGCTTAGTCTAAATAGACCTTCTTTTCGTAATTCGTCATCAAAGGTCACAAATAGTAATAAACAGTAATGAAATTGGACTACTATCACAACATAATGTTTAGGAGCCTTCACTCCACTTATTCGCTGCTCGCCTCCATCGACACCACTAGCACGATCGACACGATTGCTGCAAAAGTTGGACCGCGACCTGCTAGCCAATCTCGAAAGCGACACTGCTCCCGAACAATCGGATACCCAAGTCTATGAGTGGGACGAGTATAATGTGAGTTTTCTTGTGGGTTAGAAAAGTAAAAGCTGGTCACCCAACTTTCTCCGTAACAAAGTCTGCCAAAGGCAGTTTCAATTGGGAAAGGACAGTTATAGTGCTACTTCTTGCTACAATCAATTACCTCACCGCTTAAAAAGTTTCAAAAAAAAAAGA